AGGAGCAGCAGATCTCCAGAGGTCACACATCGTTGTTAGATCCAGTGAGACAAATCTGAACAAGGTCCATGATGTTTTTCTTTGCAGTGGGAGTGCGCATGGTTCATCATACTGTGCAGTTCCTTCCTTCTGCTTCTCTTCTGGGCCTACTTCTGGTTGGTGGCTCAAAATGATTTCAACGACTTCAACTGGTGAGTGATTTTTTTCATTAAATCATGAAAAGCTGTTTATCAGGGCAGCAGCAGCGAGCCCACCCAGCATGTGAGTTTTAAAACTGTATCAGGAAGTAATGACAGCGCTGAGTGGCGTTATGGTGGAGCGAAACCAAAGTGTGCTTATTTGTGAGAATAGAATGAATTAGTTGCACCACCAGCTCAGATGAGTCAACACGTACCTGCTCTCACTCCAGGCTGGTGTACAACCGCTCTGGAGAATGGAGGGACGAGACCATCCCCATCGTCACGTGCACCACCGTGGGCTTCAGCTACATCACGTTCCTGATGGTAACAGTCTGACTCACACCTGAACTGTTAGCAGATTTCAATACTGAACTACAACTCATGACCCGGGTTTGTTTTTTCAGATTTTAGCCCTTTTCCATGTATCGCTGGGCCAGCAGCTGAATCTGTACTGGGTCCATAAGGTGCTGTACACGACATCTTCAGCACATTTATTCCACATGAACACTTTTGAAGCGTAATGCGGGTTCACCATTGTGCGTCCCGTCTCCACAGATCGGAGTGCTGGCCACGCTGCTCACCACCATCTCTGGTGTCGTCTCTGTTGATGACGTTTGGGGAGACGAGTGGGACATCCTGCTGGTTTCGCTGCAGGTCAGGATTACTGCCACTAATTACTGCATGTTTTGCTCTGCCTGTGTAACATGTATGGAACTGTAAAAGAATGCAGCTGAACTGATTGAACATTGAGGGAGTCTCCGCAAAGTTAACCTGGTGAAATTAAAGCTGGACGGTGAGGTGTGTCAGCTGGATTTGGTTTCGCACAGGCTAGCTGTTTTCAGTTTTAATGCTAAGCTAAACTAACCAAATTTACTTTTATGACTTTTGTGGCATGTATGATTTTCTCTCTCAGTGAATTCATGCACCAGAAAAACAGATGCTTATGAAAACCATTTCAGCAATAAGTCATATTTCCATTTTTGAATCTGATCGTTTCATTTAACCCTCAAAAGAAAGTACAATATGTTTATTTACCAAAAAGTCAAAGGAGCCCTTTGAGGATTGTCCTGATAACCGTGTACACAAAATCTTGGCTCCTGGATGTTGAAGGCCTGCTGGATAATAAACTAACAGTGTGAAGACTGTCTGGCCCTGGTCACTGAACAGTGGATGTGAATTAACACTGCTAACGTCATGGTTGAACAACGCTTGGCAAGAGGTGCTTAATATGACTAGTAGTTTCATTTAGCAGACGCTTGCATCCAAAGCGACGTACGTCTGAGAGTAGATCACATTCATACACCAGTGGTGACAGCTGCCATGCAAGCTGCTGCCTGCCATCGGGAGCAACTTCAGGTTCAGTGTCTTGCCCAGGGACACTTCAACTGTGGAGGGGATCGAACCGCCAACCTTGTGATTAGAGGACAACCTAATAAAAATGTTACTGACCCTGTTGCTTCTGTTTCATCATTCCTTTATCGTCATGCTGCTTCGTCGTATCTCAAAGTAACCCAAGTCTTAAGTTCTACTCTGATGCTTTCTGATGAATAACCAACAGATGAGATGTTCTGTGTTTGTCCTGTGCCTCCAGTCCACAGCACCTTTCCTGCACATTGGCGCTCTGGTGACAGTCACAGCCATCAGCTGGTTGATCGCTGGATATGTTGTCCGCAGAGAGAGATCCAGTAAGTGTTTGACTTGTACTCACCTGGGCTCTGTGGTGCAGTAAACATGTTTAACTACCGGTGTGCTCATGCTAAATTGATTTTCCAGTGCTTTCCTGTTATTGTTTGAACTTTCCGGCTTTAGTAGATTGTTTTGCTTTTAAAGGAACCCTCTGAGCACATCTTTTAGTAGAAGCTAACCAGTGTTGGTCATACTAGTAGATAAAATGACCTGAAGATGATGATTAGAACCCTCTCCGTACTCTCTCGTAGATATCCAGGTGATGGTGTTGCTGATCTACGTTATAATCCTGCTGGCTGTCTGTCTGGCTCCGCTCACGTTCACCTGCCCCTGCATCATGGATCGTAACAGCCTCAAACAGCGACCGGAGATCATTGGCCGACGGGGAGCTCCTATGGTGAGCTGGTGCCTGGCCAGACCTCACAGTCTGATCCAGCTAATTGTTCAGATGGCTGATGTGCAGCTCTGTGGGGCGAGCTGAGCGCTGCCAGGACCTGCCAGGAGGCACTTCCTACCTGCGCTCTGCATAAACGTAGAGAAACAAAACATGCAGAAGTAGCTCATGCTGTTTTCATGTGTGTTACGGTTTCCAGCTGAAGCGTTGTTATGGCGACACATCATGCTGATGCAGTGTTGTTGAGTACATACGATAGGCTGAATGTTTGCAGCGTGCAGCTACAGCACATGTGCCGAGTGTTGTCGGGCTCAGCGAGCACGAGAGTCAACACGCTGTCGTCTCACAGCTGGACAAGCAGATACTGTTCCAGATGACTGGCTATAAACAAATGTACAGAGATGTTCAGAGCTGTGTTTTCCTGTCACACACACACACACGATCACAATCACACACTTTGACCTCTCTGTGATGTACCGTAGCTGCATCTGGGGTTTAGATAAAAAAAATACAGATAAACAAAAGTAATCAGGACTGAAGAGAACCAACACAGAGCCTCTGAATTATGTGGAAAGCATGAATTCTTTTAATGGACATATGGAGAATAATTGACTTCACACCACAGCTTTTGTTTTTCCTCTGCCTATGATCTGCTCCTGCTCAACAGGTGTGAGCAGATCAGAGGACGGGGTTTGGAGGGAACTGACACTTGGTCTAAAAGTTTTAGTGCTTAACTAATGTATTAGACCACCACCCAATGTCAGCTTTATGCCACAGTGGCCCTAAATCATTTTGTATGTTTCTGTAATGGTTAATAGACCAGCATGTGGAAGCTCTTTAACCAGAATTAGATTTTTAATGCTAAAATAGAATTATCATCGTTATCGATGAATTTTCAGATTTACTGTTTTACAGAAAAAAAGAAAAAATTAGTAAAGCACGTTATTATTTCTTGATAAAGATGTCAAATTGTAGTTATTTACCTGCATTCCTGAACAGAAAAATTAGTTTTAGTGGTTGAATGTTGATGCTTGATTAATCCCTGACTTCTCAGAGAAGCCCAGTGGCTCAGATTTAACATAGACTGTATAAAAGATGGACGTAGCAACCGGCCCTGAAAAATGAAGCCAACCCGGAAGTGTCAAAAACCTGCAGCATCACTACGTCCACTAGCTGCTGGCTCCACAAAGCCCTGGCTCCCATAGACTGGAACTGGAAAAGAAGTGATCACAGATCATGAAATACTGCATTCCTCCAGCTCAGGATGTTTTTAAAATTAGTTTTCATGGTCAGATCCAGAGATCAGGTGGCCAATCTGAAAATAAATCAATACTGAATTTTTTAAAAATTGTCAACACGCAAGGGGCGTGGCTGGCTTGATTGACAGTTGGATGCAGACGAAGCGAGCAGAAGGCGGTAAATGTGGGCGGGGCAGAGAGGGCCCGCCTCTCAATCCATCTGACCAATCGCTGCTCCTGTGGCTCCGCCCCCCTCCGACGATTTTTGCGTCACTGGCTCCAAAAATCCAAGATGTCAACCAGGAAGTAGCAAAACCCTGGCTTCATGTTCTCAGTGCAGAAACCAACGGGTGACGTCACGGTAGCTACGTCCATCTTTTATACAGTCTGTGGTATTAAAAGGTGAATTCAGTTTGAAATTCCTCATTCCTGTTCAAAATGGTAAAACGCTGAGTGCACATTAAAGCACGTCATGATGCTGGATGGTCTATCTATCTATCTATCTATCTATCTAAAGCGACATCCCTTTTTATTTCTACCACGTTTTTTCACACAACTGTCTTTTCACTGAATCAGACTTTTTCTCGTATTTTTACGCCCTCTTTCCTCCTTGAAGTGTGTTTTGACTGACAGTCGTCTTCCTGTCTGTCTGCTCTGTGCTCCAGCTGGCTCCAGAGAACACCATGGTGTCCTTTAACCGAGCCCTGCAGCACGGCGCCAGCTCCCTGGAGGCCGACGTCACCATCAGGTCATTAATCACACATTCATAACGCTTTAATGCGAGCTTTATTTATATTTCATGATTCAGCGTGCTCTCGCTTTCCACATATAGATCCCACCGTGGCAGATTGGTGGGAATGATTAACTTTTACACAGCAGCTGTCATTGAATAAATGATTGTTAGCCGCTCCACCGCAGCTTTTTTAAACCACCTGTTTGTTATATTTCACTGTGAATCCTTCATCACTATTAAAGCGCTGACTGTTTTGCCTCCTCCAGTGTGGACGGGGTTCCCTTCCTCATGCGAGACCACACGTTGAGGCGCACCACAGATGTCAGCAAGGTCTTCCCATCCCGACAGTATGAAGACGCCTCCTTCTTTAACTGGACGGAGATGCGCTCTCTGAACGCGGGCCAGTGGTTTCTGGAGGTACTGAAGTCCACTTCAACCCGTCCTCAGTCCATTAGCCACAAAATGCATTTCCCCCTGAGTGACACCACATCTCTAGTCAGTTACATGTAGTGGTCAGACTGTAAGATCAAACCTCAGACAGCAAACTGGATGGTTGGAGATGCTTTATTCAAAATTCAAAAGGGAACATTACAAAAATCTGATTTCAAACATGCAGTATGAGAGGAGCAGGACTAGGATTACCCATCGCTCATGTCCAGGTCCTGTGATCGTATTAGTCAAGTGCACATGGACACTGTAGAGATTTGGGGCCTTTTTTTTTCAGGTTTCTGTTTTCTTCTCACCTTCCTTCTGCCTCTTTTCTACTTGAGAAGGCTGAGAATGATGTTTAGGGTGCAAACTCAGGAGGCTCAAACCAGTTCAAACCCATCAGCAGAGGAAAACCTGGAGCATTTGAACAGCCTCTTAATATCACCCCTGGATAATGTCAGTAAATTTGAGTAAAACACGATCTACTGATGCGAATGCGCCACCTGTGTGATTTCACATGAGGTCTCCTGTGTGAATAAGATTTACGCTGACCAGTATAAAACACATGAAACTCTGAAGAAAGCAGTGTGTAGATCAGCTGCAAGTGCAAAATCATCTCTGGTTCGCATTAACTGTTCAACAAAAGAACAAAGCGTATCTCCACCTCCGGTCCTGCAGGTTTTAGATGTTACTGCAGCACACCTGACTCACATTAATGGATCGTTAACAGACTCGTGTAGAACTTGACAACAAGCTGCTGGAGATCCATTAATTTGTGTGTTGCAGTTCGGTAACGTCTAAAACCTGCAGGACAGCAGCTCACGAGGACCGGAGCTGGAGATCCCTGGTGTATGTTATTACCTCTCAGTCTCTACTCTGTTGCTCTCCTCTGCTTCCAGACTGACCCCTACTGGACAGTGAGGACCCTGACAGCGAAGGACCGCACGAGAATAGGCAACCAGACGGTTTGCAGTCTGGTGGAGATGCTCCGCCTGGCAGCCAGGGCCAACAGCTCGGCGCTGCTCAACATCCGCAAGCCTCCACCGGAGCACCCACGCTTCCGAAGCTGGTTCATGGACACGCTGTGGGCCGTGCAGAAAGCAGGCATTTCCCAGAAGAGGGTGAGGACTGTAGGTCCCTCCATCATAATCCTATGATTACATAAAGGTGGTGCTTGTAGTAGTGTTTCCTCTGTACATCACGAGCATGTAAACAACTGAGCACATTTGCAGCTGGTGTTGTGATAAAGTATACTGAATGAGGAGGACGTTATAGGAGACAGGACTGCTGTACGGCACAGCACAGGTAGAGGGTGCTGTTGCTACACCTGAAAACTGCTGCAAGTTTTGAAAGGATAAGAAAATATCTAGTCCAGAGTGAGGAAAAGTGAAGCACAGCCTTAACCAGGGAGAAGGATGAAGGATTGCTTCAGAGGAGGTGTACTGTGCCAGACATGATGACTGTCTGTCAGATCCTACAACAAGCGCCTCGCTTTTCATCATGAAGCTGGATGTGAGGTGCTTCCTGCTCTATGTCTGATCAGGGTCTTCCCATGTCATATGTGTTTGTGCCAGGTGACGTGGACCCCCGACACGGACAGGGGGAGGGTACGAGGGCTGAAGCAGACCGCCAGTGAGAAGCTGTCCGTGGAAGAGATGAGGCAGCGAGGAATCACAAGCCTGACCCTCCACTACAGCAAGGCCAGCCACAGAGACATACAGTAAGAGCTACAGCGAAGGGACTGAGGAAGGCCTCGGTGTCAGGATGGAGATAACATGGCATTTCAGACAAAACCTAATAATGACAAGTAATAAATAATAAGCAAAGAGTTGTCAGCAAAGCTCAAAGCGAGCCTGATATCACATGTTTCTGGTGATTCTATGTGAGTGATGTTGTCTTGGATGCAGCCCTTTGACTTGGTCTTTAGCTCGGTGAAGCTCTGGAGCAGCTTCAAGCATAAAGGATGTGATGTTAGAGGGAGAATCCTCTGATTTCACACATCACATCTGTTTCCAAATGTGTGAAAATGTCGTATTTTTGGTTTGTCCAGAAGGAGCTGCGTGAAATGTGACAGATTACCTCAAGTGATGTCACACGAGTCGGTATTATTTAAACTTGAAGATTACAAATCTGAAAGTTTAACCAGACCTCTGCCGCCCACTCATCATCTCTGTGTGCACGCCGTCTGCATTGCATCGTGGGTGATGTAGATGCCAGACTTTGACAAGGAGGAACAATGTGCAGCACAAGAAACATAATATTCTGCTGCGTTGGTTTTCAACCTGTTGTGTCTTAACCCAAAGGTGAACCACCAGCTTGGCAAAGAGGGAAACACGCTGCACTCGTAAAGTAATTAAAGCGACGTATTCTCACCACTTAACGAAATGCACTGCTGCAAAATGAAAAAAAAAAATGCTAATGTAGGTCAGCTATTTAAGTTACAAACACTATTTGATGGATTGTGTTGACATAGAAATGCTGCTAATTGCTGAATTTAATGAGATTAACGTAAACAGTGCTGCCAGTCTGAGCACTCAACCCAAACTCAGGTGAACACAGCAGAGCAGCGGGGGGTTCTTATGTCAGCCTATATGAGCAATTTTATGCTATTCTGAGTTTACCCAATTAGAATTAAGTCCCGCCCAGCAGCACTGTCCTGTACAAGGTTCTACGGGCCGGGTTCTGTAGCTGGAACATACAAAAATGTTCATGCCGCCCTAAAACGACCTGCAGGTTCCTGCTGTGGACGACACAACCTCATGGAAAATGATCTAAGCTGCAGGCCTTGCTGAGCTCTGCTAGCAGTGGTTGTGCAGCTCAGGAAATCTCTGGGCGGACATTTGGCCAGTGCTGTGCTTGTGGTGGTTCTGGTGGTTCTGGTGGTTCATATCCACACCGACAGCTGCGTGCCAAATGTGCATAAACTGCTGTCAGTTAGTGAAGATGATTTATGAAACCGTGCTAAAATAGCGTTTTAAAATAAAAATGTGTTGTTGTGTTTCTAGCTTGTGGTTCAAATGTCGGTCACCACTGATTAGTGCATGGAGGCATGTAAGGGCAACTTCTCCCGAAGTGAGTTTGTAAGACCCCCTCTCTCACTCATTCATGGTGGTTATATGTATTAAATATAATCGGATATCCTTTACGACACATGCTAAAATGCAAACAGAGCAACGTGCACGGTGTTTTCCAGAATGATCACTGAAAACGCTATGACGAGAGAGCAAAAGGACAGAAAGGCAGCAGACCTTTGTTTTCAGTCTTGACATGTGTTTCTCCTTCCCCCAGGGAGTATCTGGCCAATAATGTGAGTGTGACCGTCTACCCGGTGAATGAGCCCTGGCTCTACTCCGTCCTGTGGTGTAGCGGGGTGCCTTCTGTGTCCTCTGATGCCCCCCAAGTCCTCCGAAAGGTGCCTTACCCCATCTGGCTCATGGTAAACAGCTCGCCGCCGCTCTCTCATCTGGCACCACACACACACACACACACACAC